ATGATAATGTCTAATTAGACAGTGCTTTCTCATCTGTCTCTGGCAATCACACACACACACACACACACACACACACACACACACACACGAGATGCCTGTGCTTTATCCTAGAAGGAATTAAAGCAGATTTTCTGTGGGTGAGACTGGACATTGGTGTGTTTCAGGAACTCCCAGTAATGCTAATATGCAGTCAGGGCTTAGAATTACTATTAGAGAATATTGCTGGGGCAATTTCTCATCTCCCCCTGAATACTAGAGCACAAAATTCCATAGGCTTGGCTTCCAAACTAGTGCAAAATTGGCAAGATCTTATCTACTTTGAGCAAGCCTGTGAGGGGTGGGGCATAACTGGCTTTAATTGGTTCAGATGTTGCCTGAAAAAACAAACAAACAAACAAACAAACAAACAAAAAAAAAAACCAGCATGTTCCCGTTCATCCAAGACTGATTCCAAAGGCCATCTCTTGTTGACAACCCCTAGAACCATCCTAAATTATGATAATAAATATTTATTGAGTTCTCACTCCTTGTGAAGTACTTAAACATTTTGTTTACTTCTTCCAGAAACTATGTAAGTGTAAATATTAGAATTCTATGGATGAGAAATATTAGAATTCTATGGATGAGAGAAGTGTTAAATGGCTTGTCTGCTCAAAACCATACAATAAGTAACAGAGAATCTGAATTTGAGCCTAATTTTGTTCAACCTCAGAGTTGATACTCTTAGTTAACCAACTATGGTTTGAGTGCCGGACCCAGTGGCTTGAAAATCAAACTGGGTACATGTGTATGCATGCCCAAAATCCCAAGAGGAGAATGGAGGAAAAGGGATTTTAGAGTAGCCATCTCCCTGGGTGGGGGATGGTTTCTCACTTTCCTCCTCTCTGTCATTCTCCTGCGAGCATGCATGCCCTATAGGAAAAGAAAATGCACATATAAGGAAGGGACATAGAAATAAACTCTACCATGAAGGAGCCTGTAATGTAGTAAAAGAGATAAATGCAAATAAATAAATAAATAAATAAATAAATGAATGAATGAATGAAACTATAAAGTAAAACCTTCCTGGGGTAATAAGTAGACTGCTGTCCTGAAAGGCAGGTTTCATCTCTTTTGTAATTTGTGCTCCTCTTGTTGCCTCTGGTGCTGAAGTTACCTATAAACGGTTACTTTTGCCTTCTGTGTTCAATGTTCTAATGCTTACCTAGAAGAATGCTTAGTAAATTTCATTCACTGTTAATTAAAAAACAAACAAACAGACAAAAAACCAGAAGAATAATCACAGTTAGACTGAGAATATACTCTTGGGTGACAGAGGTCATAAAGAGAGAAGCTGGACTATTTCTTGAAATGACAGACCATAGCAACACACGGGCATCAGGCAGTCAGAGCCTCTGAACACAGCTCTTCTTAATTGTACTTTTCTAGAGCAGTCAGAATTTGGTATTAAAAAAAAAAAGAATTATTTTGGGTGTCTATTTTATGGAATGACTAAATTAAAGCAACCCTCAATAAACATTCGTTTTTTATTTTCTCTACCCAACCCCTGCCAGGTTCTCACCCTGCCGTGATCCTCTGCCTGGACCTCACAGCTGGAACTACAGGTGCTGCACCATGCTGGCAGGTTCTTTTGTCTCACTGTATAGCCCAGGCCAGCCTTGAGCTCAGAATGGTCCTGCCTTAGCCTCCCCAAACCACTGGGATTACAGGTGCACACCCCTCCACACAGCCTTTCAGTGGGACTAAGGATCTAACCAGGACCTCCTATGTGGTCCCAGCTGTGTTCCACACAGTGTCTTAATAGCCTGTGCTACCACAGCTGGGCCTTACTTTCTAAATTCTTTAGTGGTATCCATATTTTTATGATTCTCAGCAATCATATTTAGAAAAATATTATATGCTTACATACTTAATGATCTATTAGATCATGAGGCCAGGAAGTATATACCTGCAGGTGTCCTGAAGGGCAGGTCCATGTCTGTATTCCTTTATTCTTTCAGATACTGATGTCAGCATTATGCCCATCTGGCAGTTGCAGAAACATGGGTTCAAAAAGTAGAAGTGAAATTTCCCAACACAAAAATGGCTCAGGTCACATTTGGCTGGGTTTTCTGATATTGAATCTAGACTGTTTCTACTAAACAAACCATTTGGTCCTATACTAACTCTTTGTATCTAAGCCTCATTCACAGTTTGATGCCCTGGCCTCAGTTGAAAACTTTTCTCCATTCATTCACAATTGACTTTTGAAGTGAAATATATACCCTGATGATTTATTATAATCTACTCAGTGTCTCAAATACCTTCCTAGTTACAGTATTGTACTCTGAAATTACAAAAATGATTATTGATATTTTCTACAGAAATTAGATGTTTGTTCTTTTCCTCAGCATCACTAAATGGACCAAATGGAATGTAAGCTTACCAAGACAAGAGACTTTTCACAGATATTGAGCTAAATTAATAAACCTATTATTAAGGGGAACCAGCAGGTGGTGTGGTGGTTAAGGGTGCTGGACTTCCACATGGCCAGCCACGGTTTGAGTCCCAGACCTTTGGCTTGCTTTCTCACTTTCCCTCTGTCTCTCTGTCTGTCCCTCTCTGGTCAAATTAAAAATAAATAAATAAAGTTAAATAAAATAATTCCAAAAACAAAAAAATAAAAGTAACATCGGGCATTTAGAAAAGGAAGAAGTGACTTAGTAGACATTCGCAAGAATGTGTTAGTCATTTCCTTTTTTTTGACAATGTTGATAGAACCGTAGAGTAAAGCCATCTGTTAGAGAAAGCACATCTGTTGACTGTTTGGGGCTATTTCTGGGAGGAAGGGGTCACTTTTCCCTAATCCTGACACTGGTGTGAGGGTAGGGATTCCTTTTCCTACTTCATGCAAAGATGACAAAGCACACTAGCTGCTGTCCTGGAACAGAGGAAGAAAATACACATAGGTAACTCGTGGGTCTTCACCTGATGAGAATATTCATCAATGGCATGCTTATTCTTTTTCGGTTGGCAATGGTAGTTGCCTAAGAATCAGAACTTAGATAACAGCATAGCACATAGACCAGATTAGCAGAGAATGTAAATTGGAAATTAGAATTACTCAAATTATTAATATATCAGTAATACCCAGCTGGTCATAAGCCTAAAGAAGAGGCCTAATTTATCATAATAAAATTTAATGAATCACATGTTGAGTGTTGAACACCAACTGTAATGAGTATAGGGTTGGGGAAGTGTGTTGTAGCAGCAGTTGTGAAAAAAAAAAACCACAATGTTGACACTTTAGGGTTTAAGCAGATTGTGATATAGGAGCCAATGGGGTTAACATTGCTGCTATAAGAGCTCCAAGGAATATACTTAGGGAAATACAGTGATTAGAGCAAAGCCATTAAACAACTTTCTACTCTATTATTTAGATGAAAACTTTAATTCTATTCTTGGGATCAGGGCTTGCGAGAGATGTTGGCAAGATAAATCTCTTTTCTAGAGCTTTCAGAATAGGTGAGAAAAGGCCGATGGAGTTGATATGCACTCTGGAAAACTGACGCATTCTCCTGTGGAATAAAGGCGAACGCATCCTGTAGATGCCAGGACAGAATTGCAGATCTGTCCAGACTACTGTACTGCAGCAGGGAGGGAAGGCCTTCGCAAGAGACGGGTATCACCAGAGCAGGTTTCCAGGTCAAACACAAAACTAGGGGACAACTGGTGGGGTGGTGGTTAAGGCTCTGGACTCCCTCATGATTGACCAGGGATTGAGTCCCAGATTGAGCAGCTTGAAAATTTTGCCGTGCACGTGTGCCTGAGTGCATGCCCAAAATCCCGAGAGGAGAATGGAGGAGAAGGGAACATGATGTGTCCATCCACTCTAGGGGGTGATTTTTCACTTTCCCTTTCTCTGTCTCTGGGGAGCACATATGGCAAAAACCTAAAAAATATAAAAATAAAAAAAATAAAAAGGACAAAATTAGGAGCGGAGAGTAGCAAATGACAATGGGTATAGTAATTCTGGTTGCACATCATGATCACTTGGGAAGAGATTTTATGAAGCCAATGCTGGTGTTTGGGCTCAACCCCAGAGATCCTGATTTGCTGGTCTGGTTTGGAGTCCCTATTAAAATATTTTATCAGGGCCAGTAGGTGGCATGGTGGTTAAAGTGCTAGACACTTCCACGTGACTGACCACAGTTTGAGTCCTGGACCTGGTGGCTTGCTTTCTCACTTTCCCTTTCTCTCTCTGTGTGTCTCTCTTTGGTCAAATTAGAGGAAATGAAAGAATACATAATTAATTCTTTAAAAATTTTTCAAAACTGCCCTGTTGATTCTAAACTACTAGATTGGAGAATCACTGAACTAGAAGACTATATGTTGGGAGTTTAAATAAATGAAACCAGACATTTTTATCTAAGGTCTCTTCCAAATTTGAGAAGATGAATGGACACTAGCACTTATGAATAACATACTACAGCTAGGCACTATTGCAATTTATTCTAACAACAGGACTAATTAAATTTCCTTAGCACAGCATCTGGTATGTAATAAATATTAGCTATTTTTATTGTATCCTCTCTGTAAGTGTTCAGTGGGAGATATATATATATGTGTGTGTGTGTACACACACACACACACACCACACACACACACACACAGATGAGGAAACTGAGACTCTGAAGTTGAGTTAGTTTTCCAAGGTTCACAGTAGTAAATTCCAAAGTAAGGATTTAAAACAGATTAAAGCTAGTTATATTAATAACTTCCAGGGTCCCTAATCTGCTCCATCCCTCTCCTCTAAAACATCTAGGCCTTTACATTGGTGGTTTACCTTAGTGAATGTTTAAACATTTTAGCAGTACTAGTACCTCTGATCTATTTGTAAGGAATTGCATCTCTTAAATGCAATTTCTGAAAAAGAGAAGCATAAAAGTAGACATCAGCATTTTTTTCCTAATGTGGGCAGAAAGAAGTTCCTCTGCGGGTCTTGAGAAACTCTAGGGCAAGCAGAATGGATGGAAGTGACCTTTCAGAACTCAAAGTATTTGGACAAGCATGGAGAAAAGCACTGATCCCAGTAAAACATCTTCAATTCTACTGAATGGGTAAGCAACATCTTCATCTATTACTCAGTACAGGCTAATTCCGGGAGGTTAACTGCATGCTAACAATGAAGAAGGGAAATTAGCTCTGAGGTGAGACCCTGGTCATATTCGACACCTCCCTGGGGCCTGATTGGAGCCAGCTGAATGTGTATGCAGTGGTTGGTTTTAAGAGAACAAGAGGAACCTTCTCCAAGAGGCTGTGAGTACAAAGGTCGTAAATACTGCACCTAAAGAACTGCAGTAGACAAGGGATCTCCCTCCCCGCCCAATTCCCCATTGTCCCCCTTACCCCACGCAGGCTTATGAGGTAAGATAAATGACATTTTCTCTTGTGGGCTGCATACATTAAATATTCTGCTCCCGATTAAGATCTGTTCAGTTTACAGAGTTCCATACTTTTGGTTTTAGTGTATTGATTAGTAAAATCAAGGCAAGAAATGTTTTTGAATAGGTGATTTTTCTCTTGGAGAGCAGAGTAAAACCGAATGCCGAAGAAAAAGGAGTAAATATTTTGGAGAAGGTGGGAAGGTCTGAAGTTACTAACAGACCTTAGTAAAAGTCTAAGGCTTCTCTCTTTCCTCTCCCAAGGCTGCAAGGAAGCATCAGCTCCTTCCCCCTGAGCCTCCAGAGTTATCTTTCCTTTGGGTGTGATTCCAGAGTCAAACCCACAAGGAATGGGCTATAGGAAACGAGAGCAAGTTAGAGCCACAGGGGCCTCCGAGGCAGGGGTGCATGGAGTCAGGGCCCGAGTGCCGGGGAAGGACCGGAGCTGCGAGTCTGACAGAAGTGGGGGAGAAAGAGCAGCGTACCGGAGGTTGGGGTTCGACCTGGAAAGTGGGGGTCCGGGTTTCCCCTTTCCTATTCTCGCTTCTCCAGCTCTGGTGACGTTGCGGTTTCCTCCTCCCTCCAGCCGAGCCTCAGCGCCTGCCGCGTCCCGCCCTCCGCCTCAGTCGCCCACACCCCACCCGCCCGCGCCAGCCGGGCTTGCAGTAGCGCCGCCCGAGGCTGCAGGGCGCATCCCGGGGCGCGGCGCCCACCCGCACCCACCGCGCGGGCC